ATCCCGTACGTATATGACTTTATAACAAAATTATGCAGGCAACAAGCAGAGGTCATACAGAATCATGATAATGAGAATGTTCGCAACATCGGACAAAGCGAAGCCCTCCACAGAAAGTATAAGAGGCTAAACTTGGCGGCTGTCAGGCATACCACCGTTCAAGTGACTAGACTGCCGTGGTAGCGATTACTACTAGAAATAGGGCAAAATCTGCTGTACAAAGCCTGGATTGACAGAGGCCTTGTAATTATTGTACATAGAAATAGGAATTAAGACTAGAATTAAATTGTAAATATATGTCAATACTGACAATGGACTAAGACTTACAAATGACAGACCCGACCTCTCGTCAGAGAGGGCGCCCCAAGTGGACAGGACAGCAACTTTCACAAAGAAGAAAACATCTGATCATGAGCCCCAGCTGAGGCTCGACACCAAGGATAGGGACCAGTGGAGGGCTCTTGTGAACACGGTGATGAACCTTCGGGTTCCATAAAATGCTGGGAAATTCTTGAGTAGCTGCAGAATTGGCGGCTTCTCCAGAAGGGCTCAGCTCCATGAATAAGCAAGTAAGTAAGACGGTTGATTACCGTGTTCACAAGAGCCCTCCACCAGCCCTTATCCTGATCCAGATCAATCCAGATCCAATCAATGCCTTCCTGCAATAGATATAGTGTAAGATTTGAGGCCTTCNTACCGGTTCTCACGGTCTCTTTGCTTGCAGATTTCTTATATATTTTTTCTTCTACCCTGAAGATGGAGGCGATACGTTCCTCCGAAACGTCGGTTAACACCACATATACACGGTGCAAAATCCCAGAAGACTGCTTTCCTCAATAGACATAGTGTTCTGAATGTTGCTCGCATACGTACGTAGTGATCCGTGATATATAGGAGCGTGTAGTTTTTATCTTCGTGATCCGTGGTTCACTCTGACCTCAGTCTCAATCGTCTTAGTGGTAGGAGTTTGGTGTGTTGTGCGAGAAGAAAGTGTTTTGCAATTGACTTTTATCCAGTTGTTACTTATACGTAAATTGCAGTATTTTCTTGGCTCTGTATTTATATTAATTTCGCTGTGGAATATTGAACAGCACCGGAAGATTTTATACTTGGGAAAGTATTAAGAAGTAATCGTGGGCGGTGTGATACGTTGTATCTCCTTGTGTTTGTAAGAATAGTAGATGACTCCCAGTTGATTGATTGCTTTAAGTTGTTGGTGTTTAATGTCAGAATATAAACAGTATACTTTGAATTTACAATGATGGAAGTTTCCAATCTAGGGAGGTCTATTTCGAGTATTTTGGAAAGTGGTTCGCACATACATTCTGAGAAGGAAAGGCAAGGTAAGATTCCTGGAATTCGCACGTCACGATTTAAGGAAATGCACATGCAGTGTTATCGAGTACTTTTTCGTATCGTTAACCGTTTGTTGCTTTTGTTACATTCGTTTTAAAGGCCCTAGTGATTAAATGAGAAGGGTGTGATGAAGTTAATTTTGGCATTACGTTGAGAGGTGAGTGCAGTCAACTGGAACATAGCATTATTATAGGGCAAAGATTGCACAGTTAATCTTAATCATTTCTCACTAATGCATATTAGATCAACGTTAATGGGAATAATATGTTCACGTGATATTAAATATGACCATTTCGTTTTATTTTCTGCTCCATCAAAACGAGGTACCCTATACTTATAACGTTGTTGTTCTGATACTACATAGCGTCGATTTTGTAATACCAGCTCTCGTTGGTGCATATGTAGTTAAGACAGTGCGAAATTTGAGTCAGAGGTTTTGGTATTTGAGAAGTCCAGAAGGTGTCTGTGGTTATATATCCCAGAATTTGAAAACAATTTGTAAGAGGTTAGGTTAGTGCTTTGGTTCGAATGGCCAGCAATTACAGGTACTGTTATATACATACTGTTTGTTGGAACTCCAGAGACCCGGTACTATGGGGGTAATCTGTGCCTCCAACATTTCACAGTATCAGCATCTTACATGCGCTTGTCACTGTTCTGAAGGTTGCCTTAATTTGCTCTGAACTTATAAGCAGAAAAATGCTCTTTCTTATGCTGTTGTAAATAAAACAAAAACACTTTTTAGTAGTGTATGTATACATGTGTGCTCATCGAGAACACAATTTCATACAGAATAACCTTTCTATACATCTTGGGGCACATCATTCCTATAGAAGTTGATAGGTACTTATCTGGTCAAGAAATTTACTGCTTTTCATGGAACCCAAATGTTTGTTGCTGAGTTCACAAGAACCACCTCTGGATGCATTTGAATTCAGTCCCCATCCTAGCTGTTTAAGATGCTCTTGTGAGTGTTACATTTTATTTTAATAGTGCAGGTATGTTATACCTGAGTTAGAATATGGTGTTCAGCCCTCTAGAACTGGGGTATGTCCCTGTTTCTGTATGATCAGTTCTTATGCCTTGAATTAAAATAGGCTGCCAATCCCATAATACTATAGACTTCAAAATTCCTGATTGGTAAAAGTTAATGTTATTTTCCCACTTTTGTGTAGGTGTTTAAATTATCTCTAGTTTTTTGGCCAAAATTCTGGGTAAATTTCTGAAGAGTGATTCTTAATTGATGACAAATTCTAATCCTTCAGGCAGTGGACCAAGGGAATTCAAGAATGATGAATTTAATGATGTGACTTGTTCAAGTGGTACTGTTGTAACAATTATGAATGAACGAATCTGATACATTTTACAAAAATGGAAATGTTCTGCCTTTGATAGTGCAGTGGCAGTTAACTGCATGACTACGAGTAACTGTGTGGGGCGTTTCCCTGTATATGGTGCTGTCTGTCATATCAGTCTTTATTTAAACTGAACTTAATAACTGATTTGTTTTAAAATGTGACACAGAGTTACCATATTCTGTAAGAACTACTGGAAGTGACTCCCTTCTGCCATTGAGCATGTCTTATAGCACATAAACAAGTTTGTTACACATGTTCTGAATTTCATCCTAAGAAACTGAGGCAGTGTGGTTTCAGGGTTTTCTTGGTGGAAGTACCGATTCAGCTGTTGATTGTCAAAGAAGGGATTCACAGTTTGCACAAAAATATTCCTACACACTTTTTAAGCACCCCAGACCCTAACTGATACTGTGTAATGGTACCTGTTGAATGGCATGAGGATTTTCTTTGCCCTGAATTTGGTATTTGGATCTCATCAGTTATGAACAGCAGCTGTGGATCCATGACTCTTTCATGCATATTTTGCAGCATCCAGTTACAAAGGTGAATTTTTGTTGAATTGTGATTATTTAAACTCATAAATGGTCATTTAATTTAATTTGTCTTGTGTCTCTGAATGCAGAACCCAATGAACTGCTGATTTCTTGTTCCAAACCTTTTAAATTTCTGGGAAATGAATTTTAGCTGTATTTGAAAGTCATGAACGTTTTTTATCTGGTAGTGCAGAGGTTCTCAAACTTTGTGACAGCAACCCCCTGAAATATTTCTAAATTTGCTTGACCCACCATCTCAGCTGGTTAGTGAAAATTGCAGTTTTGCACATTATTGCAGGTCTGTGTCAAGCTGTATGGTGACTGCAGGAACCTAAGTAGCTTTACAGCCTCTCTGCACTTAGAGTAAGCTATAAGATACCCGTGTATTGGCACAGAAATGTTTGTGAATTGATTCACTAGCTGCAGATACATTTGCCAAAAGCACCTGCATTAAGTCTTGCTGATCTACTGGAACTAGGTAGAGCTGTATTTTAAAGAATTATTGAGAACTCTTGAGACCTCCTTGGGGCTTATGACTCACAGTTTGAGAAACAATGAATTAGCTTAGCTTGTTCCTCTTAGATTGTCTCTTTCTCTTATGAGCAAAACCTGTTGTTCACCACTTTTTGACAGGCTTTGGTAGATGGAACTTTGTGGGAACTTATTCTTGTGGATAATTATGAGTGTAAGTTTTCTTGCTTATGAAGGATATGACTTCTCACACTTCTAGGAGTAAAGAATTCAGACCTTGTAATGATATGAAATGAGTAAGCAGAACTTGCAGTCACCACCATACTGATCAGAATATATTTGTTGGTTGTGTGAATGACTCATGAGTGTTGCTTTTTTTCCTACTTGTTTAAACTCTCTGTACATACCCATATTGTTTTCTCTTCCTAGATTTGATCACACTAAAAATATCCCTTGATGACTACAAACTAGGAAGTTCCTTGTTATGTAATTTTCATTATCTTGGCCCTTTCACCTGGCCTGAATATTTTTCAGAGCACTTTTTGTTTTCAGAAACCTGCAGTGAATATTCTTCCCTTAGAATAGGTCTGAGTTTCACACCAGTATCCATCCTGCTAATAGATTTGATTGTGTCATGTACTTTGATCTGTCATGATGTCCCTGATGTCCTCCTGAAGGAAAATCAAAAGCCACGCATCTCTGATTGGAGATGTGTAAGGTTGATGTTTATCAGGATACAGCAATATGCATGCTGCATATTTTGGAGGCCACTTCTCATTTGGAGGAAGGATCTAGACTTGAGATAAGAAGCTATCCCCCCATCCTAGTGAGCATCCATCCATGATATCACAGGCACAATGCCCATCAGCATGGTGTTTGGAAGGGTGCTATGTCTGCCCTGTGACCTGCTGTTTGGAGCTCCCCCAGACAAGGAGCACTCTTTTAAAGATTGTGTGGCAAACCTGATGAATGACTGCTTGACATCTGTCATTATGCCCATCAACATCTGACGGTGGCCAGCCACAGAATGAAGGCCTGTTATGACTGCCTAGCCAACTCTGCTAGGTTCTAGATAGGAGACCACACGTGGTTGTACTGCCTAATCTGGGCCAGAAGCAAGTTTCTGAAGCTTCAGCCATCTTAGGAAGGTGGACACCTGGGTAAATGTTGTAGTATACAGGATCTAAAGAATCTGAGCATAATTGGTGGTGTACCTGGTCAGACTGAGGCTGCATCTAGGGGCTACTTGGGAAGTGTAACCTTGACGAGGGGAGAGGGGACCTACCAGCCTTTGTGCACAACTGTTTGAACCCCCGCCCCCACTCCAAATAAATGTGTGGACTTAACGTCCATGTATTTATCTTCTGTCAGTATTGCAACACTTGTTCATTCACTACTTAATTTTAAATTTAGTATAACATTATACACTTTGACACCACATGTTTCGGCCCCAAATGGCCATCTTCAGGTGTCTTGGTATGTTACAGATATTTGTTATTAAATTGTGTTAAAACTGCTACACTGTCTTAGTCCGTGTTGAAATCACACACTGTACTTCTCTTTTCAAGGTAAAACCAGGTAAAATCACTTTAAAGTTTCTATTATACCCACGTTATTTTGGTGCATTTTATTTCACCTCACACGGGGTGTCATCCATTGTTCATAAATGTATGACTGTCCAGGGTGTTTTGTTTTGGCAGCATGCCCCTCACATTCGTAGCCTAATTTTCAGTTACTAGTAAAGACAACAACACATGCTGTGGAGGAAACACACAAACCAGGGGCATATGGCAGTCATAACTGAAAAGTCTAGTCAGTCTGCACATAGGAGCATTGCAAAGTGTGTGTGTGGTAAAACAGTGTTGACAAGCTGTCAGTGACAAGGCAAGTTTAAGAAAGCAGTTCATTGGTGTTCATTGATATAATTATGAACAAGAATAAATTGAAATGATTTTTATGACACAATGTAAATAACTGTCCCAGAAAATTATAAATGCTACAACATATTATTCTTACACTGTTGACAGTTCATTTTCTGGCAGAACAGGGAATCTTATAAGCATGATATATGCATGTCTGGTATAGTATTCCAATGGTTCGCAAGATAGGGGATGTATACGTTTTCTCTAGTTGTGTTTAGACACCTTGCCTATCTAGGGGGTATGATGCCAATGGCAGAATCAGAGATGGTGGAGGTCTGCCTGCCTCAGTTAGAGTACTCGTACTAGGTAGCGACTGAGTAAGATGAAAGCTGGTAAACTCTTCAGACCTGTTGAACAATTTTTAATTTTAATTTCTAAAACCTTAAAAATTCATAGATAATTCCTGTTTACTGGAAAAAAAAATGTGTAACAAGATGAAGATCACCATCTTCTGAGATGTGACACTTTAGTCTCGTAGGTATTTTCAGATGTGTCAGAGTAATGTGCTACCTCCATTTTCAGTGTAGATGAGTAGAATATGGAGGCACCACATTCCTCCAGAATGTCATTATATAGTATATATCTACCAGAATGTACTGTGTCACATCTCAGAATATAGTGCGGTCTTGATGAGAATCTCAAACTGTGTGTGTAACAGGACAGTAATTCACAAAGTCATATTAATTTTGTGATATTACACTTGTACCTGTTGGGTTATTCAGTGTCAGATCAACACAGTTGACATGATCCCCTTGAATTTCAACGAAGTTTTGTAAGCTTGCAGAGTCTGATAAGCAAGTGATGAATATGAAATTCTTCATACCCATGTCAGTTAATTTCAAAGTTATTACATGTTGAAGTTGTAAGTCTTCTTTAACATTACCTCCACTGTAATTGACTACATTGCTTATGACTGATACTAATGAAGGTAGGAAGTGCATACTTGTACTAATTGTAAGCTCTTAAATGGAACTTTCATTTGGTATGTTAGCCACAATATTTTAGGGCACTTCATTCAAAATGTAGGATTAATAAAGGGTTAATCTGAAGAGGAAGCACAATAGATCATTGAAGGTCGCAATGGGAGGGCCAGATTTTATGGCCCACCCCGTACACACACACACACACACACACACACATATACATACATACATACATGTACATGAGGCACTTTGGAGTGTCATCATTTGTAGTTACAAAGTATTCGAGTTACAGTAAGATTTAAAGTGGTATAGTAAGTTGTAGTTCTGCCTTGTGCATATCCAAGAAATCGACTCACAGAGCCAAGCCTGTGTCTAAAGTCACTAAAACACATGACACTGTAATAAAGGTTGTGTTTTATAGTTTCATGTAATAGTAGAGTTTTCTGCATAAGATAATGCTCTGTTAATGGCTTTCTTTCATTGAGAACATTTTACTGGGTATAGTAAAGCCAGTTGTCTGTTTTGCAGATTAACCATGGGACTTTCACATCTCCCTTAGTTATTGAGTATAGTTTCCTTTAAAGAGGTGTTAGCCATTACATCTACTTCTATAAATCTAGTTGTGCATACAACAATTTGCAGGAAGTAAGCGGTTCATTCTCTTACCCTGTTGTAACTTTCTGTTATCTTATTTTGTTTCTTTTCTCACTGGCTTAACAAGGGTTGCTTTCTTCTGTTGGAAGTATATTTGTCTCACTGTTGGGTGGCAGTGGGGGTGACCCCGTAATTGACAAAAAACGAAATAAAAACAGTCTGCACCCTGCATTCAGATCTGCAGTGGCATTTCCAGAATGGTAAGATGGAGTATGTTTAAAGATGACCTATACTGGTAGTAAAGTTTTGAAAACTATTCAGTTCTACTTAACTTAATTTATTTTCTTTTTTTTTCAAAGGACATCACCAGTCTGATACGTTTGAAAGATCTTATCGTGTTGGAAATATCCTTGGGAAAGGTGGTTTCGGAACTGTTTATTCAGGTGTCCGTATTTGTGATGGAGTGTTGGTGAGTAGTGAACCTTAATAAAATAATGCATGCTGTTTGGGTATGTACGAGGGGGTACCCAAAAGAAACCGAACTTATTTTTTTTTAAACTTATTTATTCAAATTTTAAGCACAAACCTTCAATCCCCTTCAAAGTACTCTCCACTTACACTAATACACTTGTCTAGTCTTTTATTCCATTTTTCAAAACATTGTCTAAATTCATCTTTTGAGATGCTTGACAGCGCCTCCGTCGTTTTTTCCTTTCATGTCTCTTTTCATTCGAGGAAACAAAAAGAAGTCACACGGGGCAAGGTCGGGTGAGGAACAGGGGTCATACCATTTTTGGTCAAGAATTGTACAGGCAGGGCAGTGTGAGCAGGGGCATTGTCATGATGGAAAAAAATCAGTCACCCGACTGCCACAAATCTGGCCGCTTCGCTCCAAGTCACTCCCGACAGCTCCACAATTTCTTCAATGGTCCATCGTTGATCTTCCTTGATGATTTCATGAATTTTTTCAACATTTTCATGTGTTTGGGCCGTGGAAGGACGACCAGAACGAGGTTTGTCATCAATTGACATTTCACCATTTTTGAAACGGGAAAACCACTCAAACACTTGAGTTTTCCCCATAACATCGTACTTGTACGCTGTTTTTAACATTTCAAGGGTTTCTGTTCCACTTTTCCCGAGCAAAAAGCAGAATTTCGCCGCCGCACGCTGTTCATGAAAATCAGCCATTGCAGAAACGACGATCACACAAAACAGTTGTCACTATAAACTCTGCTGAAACTAGTCCTTACCTTCTGAAGTAACGGTAGTCGGCTTATCGACTCAGGAATGTTAGCTCTATGCGTTCATAGTGGCAAAATGTGGTACTACAAAAGCTCTGCCCACAAAAAAAATTAGTTCAGTTTCTTTTGGGTACCCCATCGTATGTATTGGAGCAATGAGTCAAGATCAAGGGGAGAGTCATACTAAGTGGTGAATTCAAAGAGCTTAAATGCATACAGTGGAATGTTAACTGGCACTACTTAACTCTTACAAGCAGCAAAATGAGATCAGTGTGGTTTCTGAATTTGACACATTGCTTTCTTACAGATATAGAGTTTGAATTATTGGTTGGCCCTTTTAATGTTTTCTACCCGTGCGAGACTGCCATTGAAGCCTTGTACTGTATGTCATGAATTGTCAAAGAGACATGCATGTAACTAATTGACTGACTACATGAGCCAAGCACTTCTTGGGAAGCTACCTGTTGCTCAGCTACTCAGTTTCCGAACAACCTGAAGGCTCATTAGTGTGTTCACAAGAGCCCTCCACTGGTCCATGTCATGAGCCAGATGAACCCAGTCCATACTGCCCCTTTGAATTTCTCTAAAAGCCATCTTAATATTATCCTCTTACCTACAATATGTATACAGTGGCCGTCTTGTAGTGCACTCAGTTTCACCTGTTACTTCACGACATGTTTCGGCCATCATCAGGTGCCCTAATTACGCTAATCTATTGCATTGCTTGCCTTTATATGTCTTTATAAAAGTATTTAAAAAGTGCGTATTTGTCAACTATAATAAATTTATACACACTAAAACTTGTTAAGATTATTCATCTTATGTGTCTTAATTAAAACTTGCGTGTGGTTCATTCACTATGGGGTTGTTTTTCTTATTTTCTGTGTAAACCGTGTCTTGTGATGTGTGTTCCCTTCTTACCTACATCTGGATCTTCCTAGTGATCTCTTTTTTCCTTCTGGCTTACTCACCGAAACCTAATATTAATTTTTTGCCTCTCTCCCATACATGCTACATGCCTTGCCTATCTCATACTTCTTGACTTGGTCATTCTACTTATACTGTGAAACTCCGTTATTATGTGGGTGTCATTAGACAGAATGAAGACCGTGCTACTGGCAACCACCACTATTTTGGGAAAATTGGCGAGAATTTTTTAACATGAAAGTTTTTGTTTGTAACAAATTTAGTATCAAATTACAGCAAAGAATGATATATTTAGGTTTAAATGCATGCTTTATTTAATTGGTGTTTTTAAAATAATCTGATGTATACAAACATTCATCAGCTTCACTTACATCACTACATGTGGCTTATTTCCAATCAGAACCAATTTTATCATCCACTTGATCAAAAAATAATTATAGTTTGTCGTCTTCTTTCATCAAACCGTGTATTGTTCCTTCAGGAACACCAAACTCCTGGAATAAACTAGCTTTGAATCACCGTGTTTCCCTTTGTCAATTGCGCCCAACTTCTTTTCTTATTATATATATATATATATATATATATATATATTCATAACTGTATGAAGGAAGCAAGAGGAGTTGGAATAACAAATTGTAATATAATGGAATCAGAATAAATATTTTAAAAGAAAGATAGGTTCTCCAGTGTGTTCACTCATGACAAAGTTGCAGAAGTCATATTAGAATGGTCATCAGATATACACACTTGTATTATCTCAGAATAATGGAACATAGAAGGAAATATCAAGTATATAAAATTAAGAAGGCTTAAGTATACTTGTGTAATAGAGGAAAGGAAGTGAGAGAATATTCATGTAACTTTTGTACTCTGTTTAGGCTATTTTTATTTATCTTATATATAAATAATTTTGCATATTCTTCAAAGGTTTGACTGCAGGTACATACCATAGTAGAAGATAAGTTAATTTTCTTTGACAAGAGTTTAATTAGTAAGGAATGAATTTAAATATACTTTTTTTATGTCTAAGGATGAACAACTTTCTTTTGTGTGTTTGTGTTGTCCAAAGAAACGGTTTTGTTCTTGCAGTGAGGAACAAGCAGGAAAGTAGAAAGAGTAGCATGCATGTAGATGAGTGCAGGAGTTTAAGAATTCAGTCTCCAGATATGATGAAATCGTTTTCTGTGCTCTTTTCAACGTCAGAAACTTGCTTTTATGTGCATGTCTTGAAAGTGATTTTGGATCACTGCAGCCATGAAAATGTTTTCAAACCATATTAAGTTCATTGTGCAGTTGGGTACATAATTTTTTTTTCTCTTTTAGGTAGCAATAAAGCAAATTGCAAAACAGAAGATAACCGATTGGATAGAGGTAAGTAAACCATCTTGGGTGGAATTTATTATGATATACTCATTATTGTTAGTCTTTTAATTTCGCAAGATAATGAAGAATAAATGCTGTAAATATCTAATGCTGTAGGAGTTACAGAGTAGACTGGTGGTTGCGTATAATCCAGGGATGATCTCACTAGCTTTGACTGTGTTCCCTGATATTTATCACAAGTCGGTCCCATTAAAATGTCGCTGGTCATGACATAATGCAAGACTTTGGCCTCCCCCCTTTGTTTCTAACAGAATGTGTAGTATAGTGTAGTGTAAATCTGGGATTGACTATGTGGAGAATAGTGTTATGTGGATGTCATGTTGTTAATGTGAACTAATTTATGGAGCAGAGTCTGTTGGAAGCTAATGATTACTCAGCTAGTAAAATCTTCTGTGTTTTATGGAAAGTGAAGGGTCATTATCACTCAAAAAACTGTCATTGGACTGTATCCTGATCCAGATAAATCCAGTCCATATTCCCACATGCTTTTTCTCTAAAAATTCTTTTAAATTCGCTTAGGGTGGAGTCCAATTGGGTCCATTTGGCATGGCAGCCACTGATTGGCCTGTTGTAGCCTGTCCCAGGTGATTATGATGATGGAGAATTTGGTGGAATGAAGATTGGCAAGGGAAACCAAAGTATTTGGAGAAACCCCGCCCCAGTGCCACTTTGTCCACCACAAATCCCACTTGACCAGACCCGGGGTCAAACCCGGGCCACCACGGTGGGAAGCCAGCGACTAACCGCTTGAGCTATGGCGTGGCCTGTCGCATTTTCTCTAAGTTCCAGTTGAATGTTATCCCTCAAGCTACTTTATGCAGCAAATTTATTGTCTTTTACTGCCAGTTCATGATGAGTCAGGATACTTTGTCCAGTTCAGTGACTAGTTTACAAGCTTCACATATGAGGAATTTGGGGTTCAGTTCCCAGTAGAGCAACAGATTTTTCTTTTCCCTGCAAAGTTCAGGGTGTTTCAGGGGCCATTCTGTCATTCTGTCTGATGGACACTGGTGGCTCTTTTCACCATGGGAGTGAAGCTTGTGTAGTTTTTGCAGTTAGCGAAGCTTTCTCCATGCAGCCCCATATTGCAACTGGTGTATACTGTTGTGGCTCTACTCTCCTTTGTGATGCAGGCAGTGCCTTGGAACTCTTTCTTTTCAGGGAGTTTTCTGAGTCCTTGTGGTCTCCAAGGATCTTCTGCTCCAGCGTTGTCCTTCAGTGCCAGCCACTCCTCCCCCAAGTTCTCGATTAGGGATACATTGTAGTTGTGCCTGGATTTCAGTTTGTCAGGCCCCCTGTATTTTTCCTTGTAGAGAATGTAGCTGTTCAACACCATCCTGGCTACGATGTTGAAAGCTACCTTTTTGCAATAATGCACTATCCACCTTTCATCCAAATAAGTGTACAGCTTCATGTCTGAAGAGTCGATGCTGCCCATGAACTTGTTACAGGGTATGGTGATTTTTGGTTTTATTTGTGGATTTCCACTATGTCTTCTCCATGCTTCCCCTCCTTGGGCTGTGGCATGGCTGTAGAGAAGAATGGCAGGATTTTTTTTTTTTGTGATTTCTTCTTGCAGAAAACACATGCCAGAAGGGGACCAGATCTTCATTTTTTGTTCAACTGCAAATTTGTTCTTGAACTGCTGGGGTAGAAGTTTCCTATTCCTCGTAACAGTTCTAGTGATGTAGGTGCTTAGCTGATGGACATGGCTGGCAAGTGGAACAGACATGGAATAGTTGTTGATGAAGACAACTTGTTGAGGTACCTTCCAATCTCAAGAAGTTTTTTCATGATCGTGTACCTCGGCATTTTTTTGGATGTTGACCTTGTCTTCCTGAGACCTTGGCCCCTCTGTATGTGAAAAACCCCAGGCAGTAGTTGGACACCGAGTCATACCTCATCCAAAATTTGATTCCACAGGAGTGGTAGTGCTTGTTGAGCAAATACTGCATGAGACAGGTTTTGTTTTTGGTACGCACCCACACTGATTTCTTGATGAGGGGTGTAGTGATGCCTTAGTACCCTGTCTGCATGGTCCACATGAGGTTGGTACCTTGCACAGGTACCATAGTCTGGTTTTCCGGGCCCTGGCAATCCTGGGTTGTTGACGAGGTGGAAGAGGCACAGCAAGTAGGAAAGTGATGCTTGGTAAACATTTTCCCAAACTGTGGGGTCGCTTGGGAACAGAAGGTGGACCAGTATGATGCAATGGTTGGCTTTTTGATAATCCCCATATTTAGAATACAGGCCAGAAATCCTTTTATATTGTACATGGTAATTCTGGTCCAGTTCTTTAGTGTAGTGGGAACATTACCAATTTTGCTGCTAACACTAAATCACTAAATCCAAAAGCACAAGTCTCAATAGAAATAGGCCTACAGATTTCTTCCATTTCTCAGAAGGCAGCTACATAATGAAAGTAAAAGAAACAGCACTAGTCGTGTTCTTTTTTGCTGGCTCATTTTTATTTTCTTACTGGTGTGTTCTGTATGTCTGTCTTTCCAGATTGTTGTGACAATTTTCTTGTCAGTTTTTGATACTAGGAGCATTTTTTTATCATCCATTCCAACACATGTGTCAGGTTTTTCTTGGAATGTGCACTGTGACTTTCATGGAATTACAGCACTGTTTTAAAACAATAAGCTCTTTGACATTTGTGGGACTTGCAGACATTTTAAACTTGGCAAGAAGGAAAGCTAATTTTGCATATGACCAGACCTCTTCAGAATTTGTCAGACAAGGAAATACAACTTAACTCTGCTATCATCAGATATGAACTAAAAAGCTGTGTGAGTTATGGGTGCCTGTGTCATATCTGTAGAGGTTACAGCAGGACTCATCATGTCTAAACATACTGCCAGCAGCTATAAAAACATATCTTCTTATCACTTTCATGGACCAGCATGATATCTTCTAATGATGTATTGCACTGATGACTTAAGTATTTTGGAAAGTCTTGCATAAATATGACAGAATGTTATTACCTAAGATCAGGCACAAAGGTCAGAATGTTACTCGAATTATGCTGTAAAATAGTGTGTCATTGGAAATGAAAGCTCTGCTTATGAGTTTCATTTAATACATGAATGAGCTATATTGATTAGAACCAGAGTTACAAGCATTTTAGTGAATCAAAATGAGGAAAATTTAAAGGTGGTCATGAAAATTCTATCCCTAATATGTGCTGATTTAACATGGAATAGCCTACTTTCTTCAGTCTGTCCAGACAAAAGCCAAGATATTACCTCAGAGTAGACCACAACCACTTCTTACACATCTTTTCCAGTTCATTCATTGATCATTGTACCATAAACACTATATATAGTCTGAGCCACTGACTGCATCATTAAACCATAACTTAGTTATGCTGTTGAATGTTATGTCATTAATTGAATCCAATGATTTATAGGTTGGTAGTCAGCAAATTCCATTGGAGGTATGCCTCTTAAAACAGCTGGCCCACATTCCTGGTGTAATTAAACTACTGGATTATTATGAACGTTCAGACAGTTGTATCATCGTTATGGAACGTCCAGATCAAGCTAAGGACTTGTTTGATTACATTACTGAGAAGATCTGCCTCAAGGAATCTGTGGCTCGTGGCTTCTTCAGACAAGTAGTAGAGACTGTTATACAGTGTCATAATGCTGGTGTGATTCACAGAGATATCAAGGTTAGTGCTGAGCATTTTGTGTTGGTACATACATGGGTGTACAGTTACGCTGAAATGTTCGGTGTGCAAAGAAATTTGATTTTATGAAGTATGACAAATTTAATAGTAATATAATAATGGTCAACTCTGGAAAGTGGAATTTAATGAACAGTTATGTTGATGACCCTTACTAAACTTTAGAGATATCATATGGTATCATAGAGTATCATATGATACTGAGTCTGTTGTGTTTTAATTTCAGGATGAAAACATACTTGTTGACTTGAAGTCCCATTCTTTGAAATTAATTGATTTTGGCTCAGGTACTTACTTGAAAGACAGCATTTATACTGACTTTGATGGTAAGTAGCTCTATAAAATGTGATGATGTTCCAAAGGTGGTAATTTATAATTATGCTTACTTGCACTCCTCTACTTATTTGTTCATTGTATAATCACCAGGGCCCAGATTTTGATGACCTGAAAATATTAAAAAAATTACTTATAAAATGATCGAAAAAATCCAGAAAAATGACCTAAAGGAGAAAAGAAAGAATACTTTGCTTCCGTATTATTCCCATTTCAGAAAAAAATATGAAGGAAAATTCCCTAAAATGGCCAAAAATGACAAGAAATACCCTTAAAAGTCCAAAAAATTACCCCCAAAATGAAAAAATGACCTTAAACCTAAAAATGACAAAAAAAAAATACCTATACAATTTACATTTCTGTAACCAGCAGCTCATATCTGAGATTTATATATTTAAGAGCATTGCATAGGATACAAGGAAAAAAGGATGATATGTCATCAAAATCTGGGTCCTGATAATCACATTCCTCCCAAAAGTTGGATTTAAATTTGATTGACTACTCTTTGCTAGATTGAAAAGATTTTTTGTATTGCTTCTAGAAAGTAGCCTTAATATTGCATTCTTAGGTTTTGTAGGTAAGAAGTTAAATTTTTCAGTATTGCACTATTGCAGTAGTAAGTGTTCAAGCTGCCGTAGTACTGCCATGTCACACCAGTACAAATCCCTTTATTCTGAGTCAGCATGCAGCAGCTGTGCCACTGGAATATTATCCACTGCCCTATGCAGATGTCTGTTGAGCATTTCTGTTATTGATTAACAAACACTGACGTGGGTGCCCCACACACACACAGACAGATATATCCATCAGATACAACAGCAACCCAAAGGAATCAAGCTCCAGTCACTACTTTCTGTTTGATCATTCTATCACTACACCATTCACAATTATTCATGGTCTTGCCGCTCTGTGGCAGCTGCATGTGTATGAGTCAGGAGGAAGATGAAATGAAATAACAAGTAAAATATTAGGCTTATTTCTAGTTACCATTGTTGTTGAAATCAAATAAAGTAATAAATAATAAGTTCATATGTGTTTGTAGTCTTGTCAAACACTGGTACTGACCTGTTGCTTGGAGGAAGTTATGTGTTGAATAAATTGTGTTGTGTAACACAAGTGCTGTTACAGCAGCAGAAATATGTGGTTTTAATTTGTATGCATATGCATTTAGGAACACGTGTATATGCACCCCCAGAATGGATCCAATATAACCGTTATCATGGTCGCAGTGCAACTGTGTGGTCCCTTGGAATTTTACTATATGGAATGGTTTGTGGAGATGTCCCATTTGAACAGGATGAAGAAATCGTGCAAGCAGCTATTCATTTTCGTACAAGACTTTCAAATGGTATGTTCGTTTGGTATTTTGTACATGTTCTCTACACTTTATAGGCCATATGTTAGATAGTACCGTCACTGGAGGTCCTTCCCGTAGTATATTCATTAACTTGTGTGTGAAATTATTAGAATACATTACATTAGTTTGGCTTGGATTTGATTTGCATTGAGGTGTGGACATTAATGACTTCTTTATCATAACTATCACCTGTTGTGAATTCCCTTCCTAAGATTAAATCGTTATACATTCCACACTTTGAATGAAGCACAGTACTTGCCTGATGGGGCCTTTTGATAGTTATGTGGCTTCATGGAGTGACTTCCAGGTAACAAAATCTTAATTCAGCTAGGACCTCACAGTTACAGAGGGTATATGATGCTGTTTTATCATTGTCAAGGCACCTTTTTCAGGTAGGACTATTCAGTAATCCCTGTTTAACCCTTTCACTGCAAGTATGTTAAGTAACTCTCAGTACCCTCTATGCCGAATTATTTTTGAATAATTCTTTTATAAATAATTTAAGTGCAAAGTATGAAAATTTGTGATAAAATGTAACAAATCTTACCTCAGACAGGGAACAGGCATCAGAAGTTGCAAAAATGTTGAATTCAGTTTTTTCACAGGGGAAAAGTCCATTAAATCAGGCCAGAAAAGTACATAATTCACTATCCTAGTCTTATCACTATGTCACATGTTGATCAAAGTCCACAACTTTATTTAAAACTATTATAGAAAGCACCATGCACTATATGAAGCCATATTTACTAACCCTGTGAAATACCCATGCCACATGACCACAGAGCACGTGCCTCACTGTGCAGATACAACCTTTTACATTTCATAAGCTAGAGGGCAGAAGAATGCAGCCATTGAAATGAATGATGCTTCATTACGTTCCCAATAGATGATTCTATACACCCGCCAAGTTTGAATGAGATTGGTGCGAAGAAACCTGAGATTTGAAGCTCTCAAGTCGCAATATGGGTTTTGTCGATTGCCCACATGGCAGTTCTCTCTGAGATACTGCATGCCAGTTCACATCGTGATAATGGATGCCAGCTGATTGGAAATCTCATCGTCCTGAATTTCCCTATATTCTGGCGCCCATATCAGTTGTACCTGGCTGTGTTCACTGAGTTTTGTTAAGGGCACTGCCAAATCGATTGACTGCTTAATAGAATGTATGAGGGTGGTTCAGGGTCAACATGAACTTTGTTTTTTTTTTTTCAAAGACTTGGGCTCCAGAAAAATATTTTTTTTTATGGATAATTGATGGCAGCACTGCATTCACTGCCTGGCAGGTGGCCATGTGTCCTCCTTCGTCACATTGGAGTTTGTACAAAATAGCATCCTACCCTGTGGCTCATAGTGTAGATAGTACTGTATCATCAGATTTATAATGAAAGAGAAAGTTAAACTAGCAGAAGTTCGTCATGGCTTAAATGCAAAGAATGGGGAAGAGGCCTTGTCATGTGCAAGTGTCTGTGATTGCTACTGTAAAATTTTCAGAAGGTGGTAATGAAGCGTGGAGCCTACCGTATGCCCATATTCAGTCAGCAGCTTTATGTGATGTGAGCATTCACTGCATTGAAGAGCTGATACTATGAGACTGGAGAATTAGGTTGGCCACACACCGGCATGTCTGCGACATGTCGCAAAGAAAGGAGCACAGTTGAATCGAATGAGATTATGAAAACTGCCGCACACCAGTCTGAGTCATGATGCTTACCAGTCACGAATGAAGCAAGACTGCGTCCTTTGTCTCATGTCTTGATGCTTTTCGTGACGCGGTTGGTGTTGTGGCTGCCCTTACAGTACATGATGTTGCATCCAGCAGTGGCCTAAGTGTTTAAATGTTGGAAGTGATGTAATAAGGAAGTGTGTTCCCAGTGGGTTCTGAAGATGTTAATGTTTGACTAGAAGGTGCAGTGTGTTTCTTTTCCTGCTGAACATGTACACCAGTTTCAAATGGAAGGAAACATTCCTGGAGCAAGTAGTGACCTGTGATGAGACGTGAGTGCACTTCTTCACTCAGAGTCAAAGCGGTTCAGCATTTAATGGCATCATGAGGGATCTCCACCACCCAGAAAGTTCAAGACACAGTTGCCAGTTGGGAAGATCATGGAATGATTTGTGTTGATTTTTTTCCATGTGGTGTAACATGTAGTCCACAGTACTACAGTAACTTGCATCACCATAGCATGTGTCAAGCCATTTGGAAGAAAAGACATGGGGAAACTGTCAAAGGAGACCCTCCTGCTGCATGGCAACACTTATTGACATATGGTAGGTTTCATGAAGGTGACATTGGTAACAATGGGCAGGGAAATGATGAACCATCCTGCTTATAGCCCTGTCTTAGCCCCCAGTGAGTTTCATCTTTTTGGACTAATGAAGGTGTGCGTAAAGAGGACAGCTATTTCAGACTGAAGATTAATTCAAATGTGATGTTCTGAACTTGCTGCAAAATCAGGATAGGACCTTTTTTGCTGCTAACATTGGTAACTTGCCAAGATGCTGGAAAAAATGTGTTAATGTAAGGGTAGAATATCTTGAAGAGGAGTGAAAATATGATTCTGGCATGTATATTGAATTTGTAAAAAGATTGAAGTCCAGGTCAACTGTGAACCACCCCTTCAGATGTTTGAGTTATATTGTAGGCATTAGTTTTTGTGTTACAAAGTCTGCAAATAATGTTCCAGATTGTCAAGATTTGATACAAAAATGTCTGAAGATTCATCCAAGTGACCGCCTACGTCTGGAAGACATCCTACAGCATGCATGGATGAACTGTAATTTAGATTCATGTGCCAGCAACACAGAGGCATTGAATTGTGTTTGTCCTGCTAGGCGAAACTCTCTAGATCAGCATTCCCTGGACCAGGCTTCCACATCTTCCCAAGAAAGCATTTGACCACACTGTATTCACTAGCTGTAGACTTAATTTTAGTATTAAATCATAGAATGTCATTTAGGGAGAGATACTCAATGGGATAGGCCTCAAATTGGCACTGACCCACATTGGCTGTGATGAATGAATTTTTTGCTTGAGCTCCCACCTTGACAAAATAATAATTGGCATTTCCCTTCCTACATCCCTCACCTCTGGTTGTGTAAATGTGTAATACCTCACATTTAAGGATTTTGGCTTGGAAGTTCTGCTTCAATTCCATAATCTAAAGTGTCATATAACTGCATAATATTGTTTATTATTATCTATTACAGAGTCATGTTAATTTATATTATGATGCTTTGTTGCTCAGATGAGGTTTTGTGTGCTGACTTACAGTTTTTAAATTAAGAATCGGATAAAGTAATTGTCTAAAATATTGACCTTGAAGTGTCTTTGGTATTCATAACATATTAGCGCGCACAGATGCACAGTATTCATTCTTCAGTGACCACTGTAGTAGAAAATATATTACAGAAAATGAAACTCTTAGTATTTGTGACTAAAATTTAATTAGTAGTTGGATTTTTTAGAAGTTCCTTTATTTTCATATTTTCACAGCCATATTCAAGGGCAATGTTTATTTGCACAGTTTTTAATAATTTATTTGTATATCTATCCAGACACCAGTATACTGCAACACAGCATGGTGCATTGTGACTCTGTGATGTGATTGATGATTTGCTTGATTTCATACTTTATTTTAATTCACAAGTATGTGCTGAACATTTATTATTTAAAAAGGAGTAACACTTTTGTGAATGTCCATGTTGTTTGACAAGTGCCTATTAATTTGATTGTATGTATATATTATACTGTACAGTATTTGATGCATCCATGTTTTTTCAGGCTTACATACATAAGCATTGGCAGGAGTTTTTACAGTGTATAATTGAATATAATTGCTTGTGACCATGACTGAAGATCTCTAAATGATACATTCACATTCAGAGCTGTTAGAACTGCATAAAAGACACTGCCATTTTTCCTCTCTAATATGAACAGCTATGGTGCTATAGGAAGAGATTTGTGTGTGCTGTATTAATAACAGTTTCAAGATCAAATGAAATGTAACATGTATTCCAGTGTATAGCTGTTTGTTTATATAATATTTGCTAACATTATTTTCAGTGTTAATTTTAATAAATGATATGGGCATATTATACTGATAATTGTCCTTGGCATAAAGTCTAAATGTGTACATTATTCTTGGGTCGGTATTTTACCACAGCAAAATGCTGTGTATGATTGAAGGGTTCAAGTTAGGAATCAAAACTGCAGGTGCAGATATGAGGTTTATCTCTCTATTAGTGCAGCTCCTGAGTTTTTCTGTAATTTAACATGATGAAAAGGTTCTACACCCCTGGGTCTTTGGATATTTCTATTTTAGCTGTATGGTTGGTCTCTGTGAATGGAACATGGACCTTCTTTAATAAGGAATGCAGTGGACCAAATACATAGACTCCATCATGAACAGGTTTAAATTAATCAGTTCATATTGAATACTGGGTGTGTCGAAATTACAGGAGCTTCAGTACCTGACACTTGCCTTGTGACTGTGAAAGATGATATCATTTAAGCAAGAAATTTGATTTACTTATGGTAGTCAGAGAACCCATTAAACCAAATGCAATAATTACTTTATAAAACATTCATGAATTAACCTTTACTCCCTGTCTAACCATATAACCATACCCAGATATTTAAACTGAAGGTCTGACTGATTCAGCAGGTCATAAGCTGGCTAAAGTAATTTTATTCTGCATTGTGCTGCAGGAAGCGTATATAGCAAAGTGCATTTAGTCTGTTACATATATGATTGGTGACATGTTTCCTGATTCCAGACTCCCATCATCTGTTGATACCACACCTCCTTTCAAGCAAACAACAGTGAGAAATTCCATGTTATAGTTCTTGTATTTTATTTATTCTTCCTCCTTTAGTTCCCACATAGTATAGATACAGCAATAAATTCTGGAGGGTCAGACTGGCCAGTAATTACAGAAGTGTACCACCACCCAAGCAACTTTTTTCTCCCGTATAAATAGTCTGCTCAGAGAGTGCTTTAGTGGTCGTAGTTCTAAAGATAGTAATATTTTTGAGATCTGATACTCTTACTTCCCCCCCCCCAGGCTGCAAAATCTGTGTTGTATAAGATTTAGATCCTTTATTCTAGCATCATAGATGTTAACTTACAAACAAATAGCAAACTTGGACATTAGACTTTCTGTGCCCTGCATAAATGGCCAGAAATATTTTTCAGAAATTTTCCAACCAGAAGTTGATTTTAATTTTGAAATTATATAACCACAATCAGGCAATGCACAATGTGCAAAAGCCTTCCTTTCCTTCATTGCATATTTCCTCCAGACCTGTTCCTGCTATATGGTTGAAATTTTCAAGAGTCACAAAAACAAGGGCCAGGTAAATGGCTACTGGAAGATTTTAAGCTAGGAATGAAAACTCTGGAACTTAGGGAGGGGTGAACAGTTCTCTAAATTAAATTCTGAAATAGTTACATGTTTAAATATTATATTTTAATTGTAAAGTAAATTTATTTTTAATAATGCACATCAGATAATCTCATACTATGGACATAGCATGCTTCAAATCAAGCCATAATTTGAAATCCATTATATTGGCCTAAAAACATATATCAGACATTGGGCATGAAAGTCTAAAGGTCAGCAATCATGAGCTGAATTATCCAGTATTAAATCAAGAAATTATGTGTTATTCTCGTCTGATATTGGATGCTTCAATTTGAAAGGTATTGTATTGCTATAAAATTCATGGAAGAGTAATGATGTGGGTTGTAAATAATTGCTGATGGTTTTTGTTGTTATATTTATTTTATGATGCAGTTTTGCAAAATGAAACCTCATATTATTGATGAATTATAATTTATTTCAGTAATATTCTTTTTTCATCTAGCATATTATGTTGTAGGTGCTGTATATTACTGAATTGATACAGCTGCCACCTATTCTCTCTTGTAAACTACAATTCTTATGGAATGTTTTCTTGAAAAGTAACCATTATCTATCTTGTAGTGGCAGGCAGTGACACTCTCTCTAGATACTTATAAACTTTCAGCACATGTTACCCAATAGGAATAAAACAGTATTTTGTACACTCAACTACTTTAATTCCATCATGATTCCACCTTCAATAGTTTCTGCTACATCAAAGTGTTATATTATCAGGTGTTGTTTTAGTTGTGGGGAAATCAGAGTATCGGATAAGTAAAACATACACAGTGAATTAGTGTATACTCATAGTGGAATATTGGAGAGTGAAGTTTTTTTTTCTTCTGAACCTTACTGGCCTTGAGCTTTTATACACTGGGAAATATGTTTGACTAGAGGAGGCCGTTTGTTTTCTAAAAGCACAGCTGAATTGTGCGCCAACTGATGGTGCTTATTGTATCTTGAAGTGTGTTTTATTCCTTTTTCTTTAGAAATCAGTGTAACTTACATAATAAATGGAAAGAATGTGAGTGATAGATATAATGTTATATCTGTCAGTCTCTGGTTTCATCCTTGCCCCAAGACATGTTGAAACTGCTTCTGTGTTAACTTTTATGTTCATGCTATTAGTGTACCATGTCAGATGTTGGCTTGCTTGCATTTGAATTTCATTATATGTGATTTCTGAACACTATATCTCTATAAAATAAGAGATTGTATACTTACAGTGATGTTATGGTGTTAAAAATATAATAAACTTGCAGCAATTCATATTTTAAAGTATGACTCATCTCATGCCACTTAAGTAAGTGTGCAAGTTACTTATGGCTTGTAAGCTGAGCTTGGAGAACTTCAGCTTCAGAAATATGATACAATGAGGATATTAGTTTTAATACTTTCCCACCTTTCACCAGTCAAAATTAGAAATTTCTTTTACTGACATCATTCTGCATGTCTTTGCAATCATTACATGTATGAGTCCTGAATTTTCGGAACCAGTTTTAGTTAGAATCTCAATTTGAATATTAATTTTTCAGTGTTATGATTTGAGAATTTTCAGATATATGCATTTGCTTCATGCAGGAGCATGTAAACTACTGGATCCATAAAAATTTAATAGTTGGCAGTGCTGACACAAATCAGCTTGTCAGGTAAATCTCTTTCTTCCTCCCCCTCCAATTTATGAAAAATAATTGACTAAAATTTTTCTTTGGAAAATGATCTGATATCAGAATGGATAATTAGTACACTTCAGTGGATTTTGAAAAATTGACTGTTGTTCTAAATTGTAATTACTGTGAAAACAGTTGGTCTGGTAGTGAGAATTGTTGTCCTCATCGTGATTATCAAAATTTTTTAAATTCTCATGTTGATCTCATGTAGTAAAATAGTAAAGCTATCCCTGTAACAGGCCGTGAAGGCCCATAGGGTTGTGAGACGTTGAGTTTCCCACATTATCTAGACAGTCGGCTCAAAGATGGTGGTAAGGTTGTCAGCCTTACGCGCCGGCTGCGCTTTACTCCCTAGAAAAAGTATTTAATTAATTCCTGGTACTCATTTCTGTTAGAGGCTTAGTTGACCCCAGGGCCATAGTGCGGCTGGAAGGATTAGGTCAACTGAAAAAATCCAGTGTCCTCATCAGGACTTGAACCTGTGACCTTCTGGCTTGTAGCACCAGGAATATTCTTTGAATATTCTTGGGGGTAAAGGGCGGCCGGTGCGTAGGGCCAACAACCTTGCCACCATCTGTGAGCCGACTGTCTAGAAAATGTGGGAACCTCAACATCTCACAACGCTATAGGCCTCCACAGCCTGTTACAAGGATACCTTTATTTTTTACTTTTACTTTTACAAATGAGCAATATTGGGAAAGGTCTGTGACCATGTAACATTTGACAAGACAATTATATGATGTTGGCACAAAACAGAACCTCTCAACTTATACAGAGTTGAAGAATACCTCCAGCCACATTGTGTGATCAATTTCACACAAACCAGGATGGATTGATCACAATTTGACATAGGCTTTATTTTCATTCAGCTGCAAAAAGCCCCATAAGATAGACAGACTGATCATGGACTAAAATGCTGTCTGCATACCAGGAAAGAATGGGGTATTTAAGTTGAAGTACCACGATTAATAATAATGGCAAATGGAGTAAGAATTTCATCCATTATGCATACTGAACACTATTTATGTATCTCACAAATAGCCATTCATAGTTTGTGACATTATGTGTATGGAAAGCTCTAAAATATCAGCAATTATATATTTGGTTGAACTCTGTAAATGCCAGAACGGAACCTAATCCAATAAAACTTTGCAACAGTGAACCTGTTGAAGCATGAATTTCTTCTAATATTTCATTTCATACCTTAGTTAAAGAAATGAGCTCCATTTCCATTATAAAGACTGATTGGTTAATGCTTGTCGTGGAAACATGGGCCGATTGTTCTGAGAATTGTATGAAACACATATACACTCTGATCAAAGTGAAGTTTTTTATTTGGTAAAACGGGTTGTAGTACCACTGTGCTTTGAAAGGTTAATCAGTCTCTTTCCCGTACAGTTTTTTCCTTCTTTGAAATATTATGCTGTACCAGTAGCATAGTTGGTTAACACACTATGTTACAAGCTGGAAGGTCGCGGGTTCGAGTCCCGATGTGGATTTCTTTCTTTCTTTTTTTTTTCCCAATTTACCTAATCTTTCCAGCCACACTGGCCCTGGGGTCGACTCAACCTAACAGAAATGAGTAGCAGGAATTTTCCTGTGGGTTAAAGGGCGGTTGGTGCGTAAGGCTGACAGCCTTACCACCATATGTGAGCCGATTGTCTAGATAATGTGGGACCCTCAACGTCTCACAATGCTATGGACCTCCATGGTCTGTTATAGGGAAAGGTTTACCTCATACCGGTGTTGTTAACCTTGATACTTTTACTAGTAGAATTATGTATTTTACCATTCACTCCTAGTATTCTCTACTTTTAATGTAACAGTTGTTATATGCAGTGATGTATATTTACATGAGATGTAATTGTAAATGGAAATCCCAGGAATCTTATATGAGCATTGACATCAATTTCTTGAACTGTATTTTAGAATATAAGTTTGAGATTGCAGGGTGTCACTTCTTTTTATCGATGGTTGGTAAATGTGAATTTGTGTTCAGTAATTGAACTTCAGGGCCAGCGAGGTATTAAATATTGCACAGAATGCATTTGAAAAATATGTGTACTGCAAAATAGAGTACATCTTTCTGCAGTATTGTGTTATATAATACTTTTTGTTTTAGTTGAGTCATTAGTATCATTTGAAATATGTAATGCTTTACAATTAATTATCTCAAAGAAGTGAGTTTGTCTGAAAATTGCATTTAAGAAAAATGATGCATATTCAAAGTACATCTTATATTAGAAACAGAATTTTTAAGAGTTCTGTTTTGTGAGGTACAATGTCATGTAGTCCATTGAAAGTGGTTGACTTTCATCCGTTCATAACCATTGGTGTGAGAACCTAAAATCCTACAGTCAATTTTTTTATATGAAGTACCATTATGCTGTCCATAAATACATGATCTAGTTCAGTTTTCATTGTTTGGGAACAAATAATTTGCCAAAGAGTAAATAGAAGATACTTGACTGTTCGTTTAAAAAAGGAATGTAATATGCAAGTAAGGCGCTAACTGAATGATACATTAATAGTATGCTGTATATTGAACTGTGTAATAGGGTGATGTTGGTTTCTGACCCTTTTCCTGGTGCTGTTGATGCTTCCATTGCACATGGCACAGTACTGGCATGCCAGTTTAAACTGATTCTCTGAAAAGTAACTGTCATTATTATTATTATTATTATTATGTATATAAGGTGTGGGCCATAAAATCCGCTCTCGCACTGTGATCTTCAGTGATCTCTTGTGCTTCCCCTTATTATTATTATTATTATTATTATTATTGGAGGGGGTGGGTTTCCCCATGCACTGTGACTATTAATCTATTGTGCGTCCCCCTTTAATATTCTACCAGTCGCCATGCCCTTCCAGTACTGGTGCTCACTATCAGCCCCGTTCTGCCAGCGAGGTAGGCCCTCTCTGGCAGTGGTCCCCGATACTTCCCCATCTCCCGGAGGAATTGGAAACTACTTGGGCGGGAAACTTTGCCTAATTTTGCTCAGAGGGCTCCTAGAGACATGAGGATCTTTTATGTGCCGTAAATCTACGACACGGAACCCACAGCTTAACGTCCCTCCCGGAGGAGTTGTTCCCTGAATTTTTCCACCCTTAAAAATTCCACAACCTCCTCCGGGTTTGAACCCGCGTACCTTGAGTCATGAGGTGGGAACGTTACCCCTAGACTATGGAGGCTGCTTGTGCTTCTCCTTTGGATTAACCCTTTGTTAATCTCACATTTCAAATGAAATGTAGGACTTCATTTATGGGGGTGTCATAAAAGTCACTTGGTTCCATGAAGAATTGACCCAGGTGACAAAAACTTGAGTAAGCTCATATTAATGTTGTCAAATTGATTTTACAGCAATTATGTTCTACAAAAAATGTTTCTGCTCTGTGAGAAACCATTTATTGGCTTTTGGGACATTCTTTTACTCCTTTTCCCCAGCCACTCGGAAGAATGTCATATTAATATTATGAAATTTATTTCTAGCCCACTTTATGTGCATAATGATACTGTCATTTTGTCTTAAGTTTCAAAAGCCCTGCGTTTGATGGTGTAGTATTAAACCAAAACTTAAAAGTAAATAAGCAGTGCAGTTTTTGTTTCTCGACATAGATGCCTTGTATATGGCACCATGATTGACTGTTCAGTGGAAGTGACTTTTAATTGATATCTCAGTTGAATAGGAGTAGAATGAAAGTAGATAACTCTTTTAGTGAGATTTACATATTCCTGTCTCTCATGTGTCATATTAAGGATTAATTCAAGAGTTGATGCCATCGAAAGTGCAGCTGTGAGATTTCCAGACCTGGGATACTTCTTTGAGCAGTTTCAGTCTCGGTATGGAATTTCATCGTGAACAGGAAAAGGGTTATTGCCATTTCAGATTTATCATTTCGGTAATAATTTATCTGTGTAATCATTCTGCTTGTGTTACACATTCATGTACAATTACACTAGTTACAACTTGCGTCTTGGTATTAATCATTATGTAATTTTGATTTCTTGCATACAGAATTGAGAGGGTTATGTTTGTGATGACCTACTTAGGTAAAACATGAATAAAATGTTATGTACTTATAGGTTGTAAGCTGAAGAATTTTGTTTATAAGGCATACATCTATGTATTGTCCATACTGTGAAAGTCAGCAGCTGTAGAATAATGTGGAGACTGTTGTGTACCTCATTGAGCATACTTGGTGAGACTGGGGACCATGTGTACATTTTTTCAACATGGCCTTCATATTTATTACTGTTATACCAAATGCCATGTTAAAAATATTACAGTATCCTATGTGTAGTTATTTGCATTCATACATTTTCAACTAAGTGCTGTCAAGGCTTGGGACCACTTACTGTGTTGCCTTCTCACGAGTGGGAGGACTTGGAGAAGAGTTGAATGCAGGCTGGAGTGTTATCTGTGGGCCAGCTTCTGTTTGTGTTCTTGTAATATTGCCTGTTGTGAAACTTCCAAGGTTGCACCTGCACATGTTTCAGTATTTGATTAATAAGAGAGATAAAAATTGTACTCAGTATGTTTCATAGAACAAAGCTATTTATTACATGAATGCTATGGCATGTATAAGTTTGCTAGGGAGCTACTCAGTGCTGCAGAAGTGGCTGTGGCTCCCAGTTTATTTGTACTTACAGTAGTTTCAGGTTATTTGGTATTTGATGTGTGTGTTCCAAAAT